TATTTCTGCGTATGACTGTATTTCAATTTTTATTTTACTACCACTTGAAGAAATCATCCTCGAATAAATTTAAAGTTGGCAGCTTCACGGCTTCTGGTAAATTAAATGTCCAAATCCAAGTAAATACGGATTATAGCTAAAGTTTAATTCTTCTGAATAGAAGAAAGAAATGAGTTAAGGGTATTTTCGAGTTAGAGGCATAAATGAGTTAAGGATATTAAGAGTTAGTAAATGATATCATCGATATAATATTTGGTTATTGCTTCAATAATTTAATTTAAAATAAATTTGTATAAACGAAGAATTTGATTACACAGATAATATAATTCAAAATCTAATGGGGGCGTTTTAAAAAGCTGGTAAAATTAAAAAATTCAAGACAAAATCAATTATTTAAAAATGCTTTTGACTTATTTCAGTGCTTCTAAGTTAAAATATCTTTAAAGGTTGCTAAAATAAGATTCTGTTTTTATTTCTCAAATATCTTTTTAAATTTATTACGATACATTCAAACTTTTTTTTCTTCATCCAAATCATAATTATTCCCAACTGCAACCAATGCATTTATTAAGTACTTATGAAACACCCATTTACTTGAAGTGCTTAAATTCAATATAAAATCGAGATTTTATGTACTCAAAAACGTTTCTTTGTGATCTTCTAAAGTAAAAACTTGTTAGGACTAAAAAAGAAATCATATAATCGAGCATTAATACCACACATATCTAGCGTCACACAACTCATTTCGTTGCCTGCAAAACGTCCATCGTTAGCCATAAATATCTCCCCAGCGTGGATTCCAAGTCAGCACATAATAGCGTTTTTCTTTCTTTCTAAACCACAAGAACATCAACTTAGCCTGGAGCTATGGTTCTATTGGACCCGTGCGGAAAGCCTAATTAAATAACATCGGTTAAGGGAAGTTACAGAAAAGCCAATTAATTTCCGTGAAGGTACCATAGACAAAGAATTTAACGGGACTGCTTACAATAAAATTCACTCTTCTACAGAAGGTACTAATAGGAGCGATAAATATTGATTAAGTTGGTGTTCATAATTAAGTTGCTTATATTAGAAAAAAAATAGATTATTTGGTAGGTTGTTTTGTTTAGTTCCATAGAAAAAATCTCACGATAATGAAGAATAATATGATGGAATAATAGGAAATACATTGATAGAAGAGAATCATTTATCCACCAAGGTGTTTTGATAAAGCTTATTCAACAAATTAATTTATGATGTGGATGTTGTTGAGTTTCATCAATCGATATATAAATAAATTGAGTTTTATTCGTTTCTATGGAATGGAATCAGAAGTTAAGACAGTTTTTGATTCGTAATGTTTCAAAGCGTTATGAATGTAAAAAAATGCATTCTTCCATCAAAATTTGTAGTTGTTTAAATGTATAAAAATAGTGACTTCTTAAATAAATAAAAAAAAAATTATACATTTAAAAAAATAATGCAATCTATCGAACCATAAATTTTCTTAAAAGTTCATATAAAGCAGGCTTTTTTTTCTGTATATCAGTGATAATACAGGGAAGTCATTTTCGAAAAAAAATAAAAATTGGTGGAAATTAAAACAAAATAATTAATCAGAAGTATTTGTTAATTAAATATCTGCGTCACAACTGGCGAACTGAATTCTTAAAAATAACATAACAGCTTATGAAATTTACGATAAGCCATTACATATTTATCACCACTTTTTTTAAATTTTCCCAGACTGATACCACCCTGCAATCGCATCCTATTTAGAAATAATTGTAATATTTTGTCCTGTTTTTCGAAATTAAACTCTTTTAGTGATAACTTTTAATATTTCTTTAATTTAAAAAAGTATGTTTGATCTTTTTAATTCATGAATGTATAAATTTATCTTTATATGATTTGGACCACCTCTACGTCCATTTATAAATTAATCATACCTATAAGAGTACAAAGCGCAAAAAAAAACCCGACCACTCTGAATGACTTTTGATTTAATAATCGGACCCTCGCGTTCTAGGACTCAATTTTAATGGTTCGAGAGGGTGACCTTAAATATCCTTATTATTAAGTGCAGACGATATTTTAAATTATGAAATCAGACAGAAAACGAACTTTCTCTGAATATACACATCTTTTTTTGACGGATTCTGTTTTCTAACCCCCATGGGTAGCCGCAATCTGGGATGGAGAGCGCCTCCAAAGTCTGAACCCTTTAATGTAAATTTACTTTTTGCGTATTTCGTTACATCTCGAGAACTTATTAAGAGAGTCGAAAATTCATTACGCAATTATAAAATTATCCAAAGGTATAAAATAACTTTGAATAAAACTTTTTTTTCAAAAATTAATTTTTAGTAAATATTTATTGCTTTTATTATTATATTTAAAAAAGATTAAAAAAAATTTAATAGTAAGGTATGCAATTTTTTGCATCATTTTAAAGAATATAATTTTACGTTGCAAAATACAAAATTTGAGCAAAATCGGTTGAATAATTCCTGAGAAATTAAATTCCAAAGAAGCTAGATATTTAAAAATTTGATTTCTCAAGAAATATTTGGCTGATTATGCTCAAAATGTGCATTTTGCCATGCAAAATTATATTCTTTAAAATGATGCAAAAATATTTATTCTCTGCAATCCAAAATATATACGACCACTGTTAAATAAAATAATAATAAATAATAAATATTTACTAAAAGTTACTTTTTATATGTAATTACCTTCGGATAGTTGAATTTTATAATTGTGTGCAAATAATTTTTAATTAGCTTAAAAAGTTTTCGAGAAATAGTAAAATGCGTAAAAAGTGAAGTTAACATTAAGGGGACCAAATTTTGTAGCACTCACTTGTTTAAACTATTGGAACCATATTTCCCAGATAGCGGCTACCCCCTATATTTTGGGGGTTCGAAATTCGAGTCTATCGAAAAAAAGGCATCATTTACTCGGAGAAAGTGCGCATTTGTGTCTGAATTCGTAACTTAAAATATCGTCTTCACTTATTTATTAGCATATTTGAGGTCCCCCCTCAAACCATTAAGATTGAGTCCTAAAACGTGAAAATCAAAATTCATACTGTGTGATCCGTTTTTTATTCTTTGTGAGCATTGTACATCATTGATATGTTGCATGCTTACAAAATTTTCCGGATTTTTTCGGAAAAATTTATTATTATGTCTAACTGCGTGGCAAAATGCTTGCATTCTTATTTTAACTAATTTGATTAAAAAATTTTAATTACCACTACATTTAAATAGTTAAAGCATACGTGAAGAAGACCTTACCAGTATTTGATTTTCCTTTAAGTGATCGCAAGAAATGAATTAAATATATGCATACTATATTACTTATCTTATTTAACGACCACTGAGCTAAAAACTTTTTTGAAAATTTGAAGATCTTTATTTTTGTATTTAATGTGGTAGAAGCATTTCACATTTATTCTTGATTACCGTTTCGATTAATTTTATTTGATGTATTTTTAACTGCCACTATATTTAAATAGTTTAAGCGCACATAATTAGAACCAGCTCGTTATCTTAAGGTGATGTAAGTGATGGGAAAGTTGATTTAAGTATCTGCATATAATATCACCTCAATATTTATTTCACTATCACTGGAAAAATGCTTTTTTGAAGCGAGCAAACGTCGGCAGATATTTTTGCTTACGATTGTAATTCCTGCCAAATTGATTGTAGAAAATAAAATAAAAATTAATAAAATAAATTTAAAAAAATGAAGGATCAATTTTAATCACTTTTGTACTATTGAAGTATATAGTTATAGGTGGGTCTGAGATTGCATTACAATGTCAGACCCCCCTAGTTTTCCGTCTTTAGTCACAATTTTGTCTCTGTTATTGAAAGTGATAGCAAATATTATATATGATTGAACTTATGAATTAAGCTGATACTGAATATTCTCAGCTGTTACTCTACTGAGCTAAAATAAGTTAATGATTAAATAACTTAATAACTTAACGTACGTAACTTACCTTTCTTCGCCAGGTTGCCTCTGTTTTTATAAAAGGGTGTGCAATCGCAATTTAGTTCAAATAGTTTAGTCAAGAGAGCGATTGGGCCCTTAATATTTAATGCAGTCTCTCATATCTCTTAAACATTGCAAAAAAATGCTTTTTACGTATGATAGTACACGATTTTTCTATGTAAATAACGATTTTAAATGTTTTTTTAAATATTTTTTATTATGTTAATTAAAGGTGGATGGAAAAATTAAATAGTAAAGTATTTAAATCCTTATATAATCTTGAACTTATAATATTATGGGATAATTGTAAACAATCTTGGGCAGAAACTTTCAACTGCGCTGTTTTCAATGAAAACATTTGGCTCATATATTGCGGTCCAGAAAGATGATGGACCGGATCTATTATGAATGGGCTCAGCCAGAGTCACAATGGATCAAGGGAGACAACCACAATAAGAGCACTCGCCTATCAATCTGGTCGAATCCCAGTAATGTCTGGTTGATTTGAATTCTGCTCTCAGCTCGCACCGACTAAAGAGCTGACATAAAATACCCTATAGTTATAGATGGATCATGGGATAGTATACCTTTGCCATCGGGCTTACCGTAGGATGTTTCCTTAGTTTTCCGAATGTGAGTGAATTTTCGTCAAAAAGTCCTCCACAAAAATCCCGCTGCTTGACCGAGGAGTTCTCTTGTCTTCTAGATCGCGTTTAAAATAACAAGGTAATGAATTTGAGCATTGATAGTCGCAAACCTAAAAATGACTTGGTAGTTCAATGCAGGTTATAAAATAAATTAAAATAAAACCAGTTTGTTCATGTGTGCCGAAGAAATTATTATTCCATATTTAAGCGTGGTTTAATTTCATCTTGAACAAGAGTGCGGCAATTAAGTTTTGGTTATAAGGTCGATTAACACTTAAGTTTGGTACGTCACAGTAAAATACTCACACGCTGTCTATTGGACGGAAATAAATTAAAATAACTAAATACCTGCCTTTATGAAATACTTACGTCAACATATACACCTAGTAACTCATAGTTTTGACCAGCTGGCATGTCACTTGGCAAAAAGCGGAAGAATTCTACATTGTTTTTGTACCATTTCACTGAATATAGTTCATCTTCACCTAATTCATATTGACATTTTAACCATGTCGATTCTCCACTGTGAAGAGCACCTGGTATGTCTAACTGGACAAATCTTAGACCCATGGATAAACCTGCAAAAAAATAGGATCATTTGAAATGAACTACAAAATGAGAGCTCATTTTCACACAATAAATAAAGCAATTATATAATTAATTAATTTTATGCGTAATAATTAATTGCAGAATAAATAAAATATTATCTTGATCAAGTCAAAAGGAAATTTGCCTCAAACAAACTGGAAAGGATATTTAAAAGATTAGTGTAGCATCAAAACAAGAACAATCGACTTTGTTAGAATGGTATTTTGTCTCTTTTTTACTTTTTAAATTCCCTAATCGATTCCTAAATTTCTCCCTTAAGAGGTCCCTTTCTCCTCGACAGAACTCAACTATCGGAGAGGAGGAGATGGGGTGAGAAAATTCCATGCACGTTTTTTGCTTAATTTTGATCTAACTGATGGTGGAATTTTACTCTATTCAGCAGTATCTTTCAATACATGGCCTTTACCAAATCAGAATTTGAGCGGTATTTTAGATTCTCTTTTAATTTTTCCTGACAATATTTTAGCAACACAGATATCAATCAGCAGCTTTTGAAGGTAGTTAAATTAGTATGTATTTAATTGCTTTTAGACTTTTTTTTTTCAATTTGTGTTAAATGATTTTTTAAGCCTCATACAAATTTCATTTTGCAAGCTGTTATAAAAGTAAATTTTAAAAAATCTTAAAAACGGCCCAGCGTTTAGTTTTAAATTACTAACGCGAAATGACTTTTTATGTAATTTTATTGTCTTAGAGTTAAAAACGAAAATCCCATATAATTATCAAGCTCCATTTCTCCTAATTTAATAAGGCAACCCTTTAACTTTCAACCTTTTTTTATTAAAAAAAATTGTGCTGTCCAATAAATACTGTATCATCAAAGGTTTGTTAAGCCCATAAAATATAAAGTGAATAAAAATCAAAACTTTAACAGAAATCCAAGATGACAAGATTAGAGGCATCATTAATATATGTATATAAAAACAGCTTCCTCTCATTTCTTCGTAATTTTGTAGTGTTTATTTTTTATTGATATTTTTTTTTTACCTTAACGGAGCGCAACAAACCTCAATGTTAAAAATTGTGGTAGAGTACAAATAAATTTTTAAAAAATCATGCTTTTAGTATAATGCATGACACTAGTTAACAAGACACTAAGTGATGTAAAAATTATCTTTAGATAAAGAGCCGTTGAAAAAATTACAGAAAACGGAGCAGACAGAAAATATGAGAAGTCTGGAAGCAGCTGGAATAATTATTCAATACAAAAGAAAATGACTCCATAATGTAACGTGGGGGAGTGTCGGGTACCCCCGCCCACTGTCAATTTCATATGTATAGAATATTTTTTCAAGTCAATGGGCCATCGGACATTTATTGTTATATTAAAAAAAGATTATTTTCAAAGTTTCAAGTATTTATGCAGCTGGTAACATGGTAAACAGTAGTTTAGAAAATATGTTGAATACAGTAGTCATGAAATTAAGAAAAATTAGTTGAATGTTCGGATTAAACTTCATTTTAATACTAAAAAAATAATTTTTTCTATACATATAGCATTAAAGTATGTAGTACTAAGTTTAATTTGCACAAAGAAAGAAGTTTATATGTGAAAAATTGTTCGAGTAATTACAAATTTACAAAAAAATTGGATTTCGGGTAGCCCAGCTCGCATGAATGTCGGGTATCACAGCCCAATTTTATTTCGTCGATAAATGTACGGTTGCAAAGATTATTATTTTATTGCTTCAAATTTGAATGTTATATGCATTTTTAACAACAAATATATGTTTTAATATTATATGAAACATAAATTTATATATTTAAAAATGAAAAATTAAATATTTTTAAAATGTAATTGATATATCCAAATTAAATTTAATATCAAGAAATCATAAATATTATGATAAGCTATTTGCTTACTTATTTATTTTCACTTATTTGTGAACGAATCAATCTACAGAAGCATTTGAATGCAATCAAAATACAAAGTGAATTTGTAATTTTATAAGAAGTATTTTATATTAAGTTTATAAGAAGAGATCAACCAAATAAGTTTATATTGAAAAACAACTATTGTTATTAATTATTGTTACTTAAATTAAATTATTTTCGTTAAATATTTAATATAAATAGGTATTAATATTATAATATATTAATATACATTAATAATAATAAAAAGTATGACATTTGTTGTTATTAAATGATAGAATTCACTAAAAGTATATAAATATATAATAAATAAAATAATTTTGTGATACAGATGATAAATGAGGTTTATCTATTGTCAATACATTGGTCATTTTCATTTACACCTGAAAAAACAGTCAAAAAGCATAATTTTTGTAACTGGGCGGGGCTACCCGACACATTTTCAAAAGAGCTGAAAAACACGTTTTTTTTTAAATTTATATTTTTTTAAGTTAAACTATTCTTTCTTTGGTTTATTCTTTTTGCATTATTCAATTAGATGTTAAAGCAATAGAAACATGCAAAATTGATCATTACTCAATATTGATATTGATTATATTGATATTGATTATTACTCAATATTATACAGAAATATAAACAATACTACTTAAGTGAGCGGGGCTACCCGACTCTCCCCTATATAGTGATGTTTTTACGAATGATCCAAATTAAAATAATTTGACTGAAAGTTTTCGCAAATCAAACAACGAGGTACCTGCTTAAGAATGAGGGCTTAAATGAAACTCCCAAACAATTGAGAACAGAAGTCATTGATTATTCAGTGATCAGCCAAAGTCATGAATGGAACGGAATTAGAAAATTGCTTGAATTTGAGTTTAGATCAGTTGAACTCTTGATGTCAAAAGCGCAATGAAGCGAAATAAGAAACTTAAGTCCAGGGGAATTTTAAGAAGAGGTAACTAGGCCTGAGTAAACTTCAGTAATAGTAAGATTCAATTGACTTTCGAAACTAATAATGATGATAATGATAATTTCGAATAATAATAATGATAATAACGGTTCCTACATAGTAGAGTGAGCTTTTAAAACAGTCAAGTAAGAAAAAAGTTAAATTTTACTCTGAAATCTGCAAGCAAAGAAGAAAAGACTGCTTCTTTGAAAACAAATAAGCAATCTCATCTGGGTTAATTAAAAAGCTTAGAACCGGGTTATTTTTAATAAGAGAGCAGTGTAACAAATTTGTTGAACGAGAAAAAGTAGATAAAAACTTTTTGACCTTGATTTTATACATTTTTGATATAGCAGAAAATAGAATGTATAAAATGAAAAAATTTTACTATATTTTGAATTCTTTGGTTTAATATTTTTAGCATTATTTGTTACTAGTTCTTAAAGAAAATCTAAACATTTCTGAAGTTAAAATTGTATCTTTTTCCCTTTTAATAAGTCTAAAAAATTATAAATAAATATTTGATGCATTTTTGCAATTTCATGACGGGAAATTAAAATAATACGAAGTTTTTTTCAAAAAACATTCGTAGTTATCCTTTAGAGTTTTTAAAACACATTATTAAAATGATCACGCAGAGGACAAAAAATTTACTAATTTCAGAATAACTTGATGCTTGAAACGGTGAAAACAATTAAAAAGTTAGACTTCAGAAACATTTTTTAAAATAATAAATATAGCTCTAACAGTAAAAAATTTCGCATTCCAAATAGCATGCAACATTTGAAAATAAAACACATTATTTCCTAATAAAAATAACCTTATGAAAAATGAAAAAATAAATCTGCTGTGTTTCTAAATTTTGATTCTTGAAAAATTTTCTTTAATATTCAAAAATGTGGAGTTGCTAATATAGATATTTTTTATATTTTTAATTGCAGTACCTGTAAATTCCAAATCATCGCCACCTGAAAATATATTAGAACAATAAGAGCAATATTTGATAGCCGAGAAATACACTGCAAAAAATGGATACTCGGTTATCACAAAACTTTCTCCATTTTTGACGAAACCGCTTCCTGGTAAATGCTCCGAGAAAAAAATTCGTCAAAGGAACGAAATGACTATCGTCACTTCGAGGAAACGAATGCTGTTAAAATTAAAGAAATATTTCACTTCTTCGAGGAAACGAATTTTGTTAAAATTAAAGAAATATTTCACTTCTTCAAGGAAACGAATTTTGTTAAAATTAACGAAATATTTCACTTCTTCGAGGAAACGAATCTTGTTAAAATTAAAGAAATATTTCACTTCTTCGAGGAAACGAATTTTGTTAAAATTAAAGAAATATTTCACTTCTTCGAGGAAACGAATTTTGTTAAAATTAAAGAAATATTTCGTCTTTCTGATTAGTTTTTTTCCAAAAATAAATAAATTATGTATGTAACGATGTAAATGTATGTAACGTTCTCTGTATTCACTTTAACGTGGGCCCCATGCAGACAGCGCTACACAACAAGGACAGATAGATAAATTGCACCCATACCAAAAGAGGGATTCGAACTCCAGTGCTTCCTGGTACAAGGCCAACTTCTTGACTACAATGCGTCAGTTTACTTCAGATCCTCTAGTCTATATTCTAGTTTCGTCATTCTATTTAGCAATCTCCCACAGTGCACTACGAAGAGGTTTCGAATTTGGGAAACATTTTCGTCATACACTTGAGAGTTCGCGTTTCGTTACAAATCACGTGATTTCGTTACGAAATGATTCTCAAAATTCACGAAATACTGCTCAAGGATTGCTGTATCGTCAAAAGTGAGAGTTTTATTTCAGAGAGTATGTTTTACTGGTGCTTCTAAAGTAATACTATTTATACATGATTTTTTACGTATATACCAGTATTTGAATAGCGATTATTTTCGATTTTTTATTTGCGATGTTATTCAGCTGTAATAAATTTTGTCCACATCTTAAATAACATAATGTTTAAATATATATAAAAAATTTATATAATATTTTAATATATAATATTTTGATATAAATTTTAATAATTTAAATATATTTTAGGAATGAAATTGTATTTTATAAGATTCATCTAAGGTGAAAATGTTTTATCTAATAAAATGAAGAATCTTTC